CCGCCCGCCCCAGCTTCCTTCATGGACAAAGGGAAACTTTTAGAGAACTTTATAAAAAATCCCTTGCCACCCGTGAACTATGGCTACAGGAAGTTAAGAATCTTTCCTGGGGTGCAGCCTGTACCTCCTGGAGAAGAAGAGCATGACACCTGGATGGAACAAGCTATGCAAGCACTAAAAGAATGGTATGTTCCAAAGGCTCAAAAGAAACAATGCATTACTGAAAGTCTGAAAGGCATTGCAGCAGAAGCCACCAGAAATTTGAAATTCAGTCAGGAGTCTTGTGCAGCTTATGACTATCTTTGCATGTTGCAAGATGAATGTGGACGCACAGAGAGATAAAGCTACAGATTTGATCTACCAATTTGAACACTCACTTTACCAGAAAGATGAGAAAGATGAGCTCTCCAAGAATATTCAACGACTAAGCAAAATACTGTACCAGATTGTACTAAAGAAAGAAATAGAGCCCACAGATATAGATCAAGTCAGAATGATCCTGAGAGGCGCACGGAATTCTGACCCCATCTGGATCCAGTTGAAGACTTTACAAGGAGGTTCCTCTTTGCGATACCCTGAGCTTATTAAGACGGTGAGGGAGGAAGAGGCTATCCCAGAGGAGAAAAAGAAGGGCTCAGGACTTTAATTTGCTACCAAGGTCCGAACAGTCAGCATGTGAAATGGGAATTCGGAAATAGACCAATTGAAGGCTCAAGTATCCCATCTGATGCAAATGCTAACTCTATTGGCCGCAGGAGTAAAGTCACCCCTTGAAAAAGTCTCCTCTGAATTGGTTCCCGTTTATACCACCCAGATGGTTCCTATCAAGAACCCAACAAACATCTGCTATAACTGTGGTGGAGTGGGTCATTACCGTAGTACCTGTCCGAGTCCACCAAATTCAAGAGAAAATTATCAAACGACGGGAAACTTCAGAGAGCCCCAGTGAAGGAGCAAACTGGGTGCCCAACTACTGAAGACTGCTCAAATTCCCAAGATCCAAAAAAGAGACAGGAGAGGCCCAAATCTTTACCCAAAGCCTCACCTGATATGACTAAAAGATCCTCTTCCATGGTGTCTGATCCTGTGTCATAAGGAAGCAATGCACACCCACAACCCAAACCCCCGTTAGGGGACAGGAAACAACCACCGCGAACTAGGAAGAAGGCTAGAGTGCAGCCGGCTGGGTCTACACCTTCTACTACTCTGAAGAAGTATCCTGATAGGTCCTTCACCCATTATCCTTATTCAAATAGAAGGGTTCTACATGAAGGCTCTCCTCGGTTCAGGTGCTCAAGTAACCCTGATTTACTGAGACTTCTACAAAAAGCATTTGAAGCATCTACCCCTAATGAAGTTAGAGGATCTTGAAATCTGGGGTATTGTGACTAAGAAGCTTCCATATGATGGGTATCTACAGGTCAAGCTGGAATTCAGTTCAGCAACTGTTGGACAACCACGAATCTTTGACACATTGGCCATTGTAAGTCTGCTTCCCCCAGGGGCTTATCAGACTTCCATGATTGTGGGGATGAACACTGACTTGGTGAGACGCCTTGTAACTCAATTAGTAACAGAGTCCTACTTCTGAGACTATGCACCCCATGTTATGGCCAATAGATCAACGGATGGTCCAGGAACAGAGAGCCCCTGAGATCATAGCTGAATGGTTCTATCCTAAAGACAGTGAGTGGAAAAAAGCAACTTTAGTCTCAACTCCTTAAGTGGCGAGAATTGTCTCTAAAGATGAGTTTGACGTGGGGTGCGCCCATACCACCCAGCATCGCATCAGTCTGCAAGATAAGAAGCCCTTCTGGGAAAGGTCACAGCAAGTCCTGTTGGGAGATCTGGATGATCTAAGAGCTGGCTGATCTAAGAGCTGGCTGACCAGGATAATCCAAGAATCCAGGAGTCCTTATGCCTCCCCTATTGTGGTAGTTCGCAAGAAAAACGGTTCCATCCATTTGTGTATAGACTACTGCACATTCAATTGAAGAGCCATTTCCGACCAACACACTACTCCTCGAATAAAAGATGCCTTAAAATGTTGGTCTGGAGCAAAATGGTTTAGTGTACTGGATCTATGGAGCGGATATCATCAAATACCCATGCATCCCGAAGATAAAGAAAAGACTGCCCTTTGGCATTCTTTGAGTTCAATAGAATGCCTCAAGGTCTAACTAGAGCTCTCGCCACATTTCAGCATCTAATGGAGAAGACAGTGGTAGATATGAACCTGATAGAGGAATTAGTATCCCTGGATGATCTGATAGTCTTCAGGAAAACCCTTGAAGAACGCAAACAGCGGTTGGAGAAAGTTCTTAAATGGCTTCCGTGAAGAAGGGCTGAATCTTTCTCTAGAGAAATGTCAAATCTGCTTACCCTCTGTACCATCACTAGAGAGTAAGCTGCCAAAGGCCTGTAGTGCCCTCTAAAATGTCGCTATTCAATTTAGAGATACCTGGACTGTAACCAGTCTAGATACTGATTATACAGAGCTCTGCATTCTATAGGTGTCCCTGAATCTGCTGGATTGGTTGCTCCTCCTGTTGCTGAGGAAAAGGTAGCCTTGGCATACAGTGAGGGAGGATCCATCCTCAGATTATGACTATGCACCTGACCCTAGCCAATCCCTGAGTAGGATGACTCAGAGGCATGGTTGAGGGCAGGTAATAAAAGGTCTGGGGACATTGTGCAGAGGTCTCTTCCCCCTAGGGGCCTCACCCTAGGAGGTCTGTGTGATGCAAGCAAATGGCCTGGGCCTCGGCACATGGCAGGTGCTGGGGGCCTGCAGGCTTAGGACTCCATAGGAACTTTGCTTGGGCCCCATACACGTGGCAGGTGTTGGGTGCCTTGTTCTAAGAAGATACTACCACTAACCTGGAGTGCTCCTTGTCAGTTGCAGATGCTGAGGGCACAGAGATTCCAGACCCTGAAGAGGAAAATACCTGATGGAAGCTGGGTCGGAGGGAGAGTCTGCTTGTTGGGGGGTACCGCAGAGGAGCTGGTGAGAGCGTCCGTCTGGGACCCACAAGGGAGATCCCTCACCCTATTCCAGGTATCTGTTCGAGAAGAAGCCAGCGGTCCTTACCTGAGTCCAGCGATAGCTAACCTTCTCTTTATAAGTTACTGGACCCTCCTGGCTGTTCGCAGTATTGCTAATACCATTTGTCCCTGGGACCAGATCACAGTGATATCGGCCTTAGTTGTTGCTAAGGGAGAAAGCTGTCCTGAGAAGAACCCAAGGGCATCCTACAGATCCTAAACCCTCTCTCCTGTTGAATCCGCAAATAAATACCCTAAGACTTGAGCCTGTTTCTGTATCGGAGGGTCGGTGTGCTGGATCTGAACAAGGGGGCCGGTGGCTGGCAAACAGGTAGGGGAACCCTATATCATACTCAGCGGCTCCTTCGGGGGTGAGCGCTACAGGCCTCTGAAGGAGAATAGCCAAGGCTGAAATATGGCCCTTGATAGTTCTCAAGGCCAGGTGCTGGTCTAGACCAGATTGGAGAAAAGTCTCTGATGAAGCCTAAGTGCCTTGCACCAGGCAATGTAGGCCTTACTGGTGTGATGATAGACCTTCTGTGAAGTTGACTTCCTAGACTTCAGCAGTGTTGGGATAAATGAGTCAGACAGACACTGATCCTTCATTACTTGGGCTTTAACAGCCAAGCTGTAAAAGTCAAAGAAGCAGGAAGTTGCACAAGTCCTGAGACAGTAGATCAGGCCAGTCTCCTAGGTATCTGACTATGTATGAGTATCAGATACTTCTGGGCCAGTTCAGTGCCACCAGGATCACTGGAATCAGAAAAGGGAAAATTAAAGTGTGTTAATAAACTGTAACTAAGCTTTTATATTAATGGTAAAGTCAGATCATTTAACAGATGATTACAGATTGGTTGCTAATTGCTAGGGCCTGCACGGCACGGCACATTCTCACCGTCTTCAAACTGGCTTACTGAATCCACCTTCTTGTGTCAATAGAGTAAACTACAAAGTCACATTACAAAACTAGACTTCACCTGTCACAACATAATGATGTATTCACATCACACTTAGGGTGACACCATTTTTATTTGGTATATAAAATTAATCAGTTATGATATACATACAACTTTATGTATTTCAGTCTTGTATAAATACTTTGTAATATGGATGTCTTGCTTTTATCGCATTCTCATCTTTACAGACAAATACCCACCACCAGCAATTACAGTGAAACCCCGGAAAATTGTACGCCCAGGAGAAGACATAACAATAACATGTGATACTCCCTATCGTGAAATAAAATTTACTATTTACAAGTATTCTGTATGGATCACAGATGGTGATACCAATCCATTTTCATATGTTATAAAAGAGGCAGGAGAGAAAGATGTTGGCCAATATTGTTGTGGTTTCCAGACTAAATCTGGAAACAAAACACAAATCCAGTCTGATTTCAGCGATCCTATTATGGTACAAATTAGAGGTAATACATGAGCATTATTTTTGTAAATTTAATAAAAAATATAAGAAAATATAAAAAATGTTATAGACCCATGCCTAGGGTCTAAAGGTTTTTAATGTACCGGACGAAATTCACACATTGTGTGGGGCTGTCGGCTCCCTTTCAGCCGGCATCCCTCAATCAGCTGATTGAAGGAAAAATGTAAATCGATCAGAGCCGGCAGCCAATGAGCTGCCTGCTTTAGTCGGGTATTCTGACAGGGATCGGAGGCTCCTGCCAGAATACAATGTAAACAGTGGGATTCCTCAATCGACACGCTCTTTGTGTTGATGGAGTAATTGGGTCATTTTTTTTTTTTGTTCAGCCCCGTGGGTTGAACGAAAAAAATTGATAGGTGTATGGCCAGCCTTGGAATTTCAGTGCTGTGCCAGGTAGCGATGAGCCGAACACCCCCTGTGTTCGGATCGAATCCGAATTTTAGAACATGGGAAAAGTTTGAATTCGAACTCGAACTCGAACTCAATGCAAGTCTATGGGGGTAGAAGCCTATTGTCTATGGGTTTTGAAACCTTATTTGCAATTTATTGGCCATAAAAAGTGTATTGGGATTTGGGTACTGCCCTGGGGGAAAGGAATCAATGAAAAAAAAAACTTTAAAAAAATACAGTTTTTAAAGAAGCAGTGATTTTAACATCACTTAAAGGGTAACAATAACAATAAAAAATGTCTTTAAATATCATGCCCTTAAACTGCCTGTAAAGTGGTGCATCTCTACAATGTATAGAACCTGCATCAGCAAAAACTGACATTTCTAAAGAATAAAAATGACATTTCTTTTTTTTTTAAAGCGTGCGGTTCCACCTCCCAAACAATACCAGGCCCTTTAGGTCTGGTAGGAATGTTAGGAGAGACCCCATTTAAAAAGAAAAAAAAAGCATGGGGTCGCCACTGGAAAAGCACCTTGTCCCTGTGCTAATGTGGACAAGGGCCTCTTCCCCACAAGCCCTGAGGCGTTTTTTTGTGGTGGTGCGGGCAAGTGGCTTATTCACATCAGGGTACCCCCCTGGTGAAAGAGTAAGGGGTACTTGTAACCCTATCCTTTCACGAAAAGGGTTAAATAAAAGATTAAATAAAACACCAGACTTTAATCAAAAATCCTTTATTTGAAAAAAAAAACCACAACAAAAGGATCTTTGACAAGTCCTTTAAAAAAAAAAAAAAGTATCCATCGACGTAATGCAGAGTCAATCACAAAGTCCAGCGTTGTCCACGATGATGACGACGACGCGACAAAATAAAACATAAATAGAAATAATAAAAAAACAACGACCGCCGTCCCGTCCGCTGCGACAAACACACGCCACAGAATGGTGTTTTGACCAGATGCCGTCAACGTATAAACAATTGGGCGGAACTAGTAGTGACAGCTAGCTCCGCCCAACTGTTTACAGTTGTAACAGGTGAGCCATGAGTGGGCAGAGTCATCATGACTTTGCCCAATCATGGCTCTCACAGTTCTCTGTGCCCTGATTGGGGAAAGTCTTGCACCTGACCTTTGGGGTGTTTGGCGGGCGAACAGCCGCTGAACTCCCTGATAGTTTGTGTGTTCGGCGAACACACAGACTAGTGATGTTCGAGTCGAACTCACGTTCGGCTCCAACATCGAGCCCATCAGTAGTGCTAGGCAACTACCTGTGGCCACATAAATCTATGGTTGTGGTAATACAGTTACCTAAGGGAAACATTCTGTAAAATCAAAACATGCACGTTGGCCCTTTCAATACATATTGGGTAACGAATAGCAAGCCTTTAAAGCAGTGCTTCTCAACCTTTCTAGGGCCGGGACCCCTTGGTAACATTTGCCAAGTTGTGGTGACCCCCAACGGTAAAATTTAGGGTTGACGCGGCTGCTGCGAAATCTGGCGGCGTGGCGGGAGAGCTGACACTGCTGCGCTAGGAGAGGGCTGAGGACTCTCACCGAGCACATCAGAAATCACACAGCGACCCACAGGTTGAGAACCACTGTTGTAACAGCTAAAATGGCAAACCATATAACACAAGCCGAGGGTGTCAGCTTTTATTATTAATAATAATGATAATCTAATAGCTATCTAATAGTGGGAGACTCCCGACGACCCCTGGAGAAATTGTCATTCGACCCCCGAAGGGGTCCCGACCCACAGGTTGAGAACCGCTGCTTTAAAGGAAGAATCTTTCTTGCTTCCCTTAGCAACAATGATCTAAAAAGTTTGTCCGCACAGCACTAGAAACTTGGAAGAAAGATGATCAATCTATACAGGCAGCAAGAACTATCAGGTACTTTCAGTTATGAGGCCCAGCTGTTATAAGAGCTACGTTATGGGGAGGTAATAACTAATGTTTTCTCAAAGGAATTGTATACCTCTAAATACGCTTCCTTCGCATATAATTTCCTATTTTTTTTCCCATAATTTGGTTGCCCACCCATATAAAATACAATTCCATTCCCTTGGGTCAGTGTTCTATGCTAGCTCTGGTTATTACCATGTACATTAGACAAATATTTGTATTTGCACTAAGAACTAAATCAGTATACTGGTAGATACAATCCTCTCCTGCATTGTCATCCTGTTACATGCTTTTCCATTGTAGACTATAGGTGGTCATGCTTATGCTCAATGCAAAGTCATGTTCTACTATTCTAGAAGTCCACCCTGAGTGACAGTAGAGAATATGAACATTTACATGAAGTGGGTGCAAATAGGTGGAAGGAGATCAGCAGTGCGACAAACAAATATGAAAAAAGGTTTAAATTAGGGATGTCCCAATACCACTTTTTCAAGACCAAGTACAAGTACTTCCCCTCATGTACTTGCCGATACCAATTACTGATACTTTTTAGTAAAGGGCCAGGTGACTTTAAATGATCCATAGTACAACTACATGTTATGTTCTATGGATCATGATTTAACCTATACATGTTCGCAGGGGAGAATTGTAAATCTATTGCTGTAGTTGAGGTGTGTGCTGTATATATGTACTACATATACATTACACACGTCCAGTACACTATAGCAATAGATTTACAGCCAGCCCTGTCCCAGCTTCCCTCAATCACAGTTTCACTTCGATCCCTGTTGCCTCACGAGATGCCTCTTGTAGTCGGCGCTGGGCAGGATCGCTGCATCGCGTCTCGGTGCTCAGCTTGTGGGAGGCGCTTGTACTATGTACTACATATAGAATGCACTGCAGCGATAGATTTACAATTCTGCACTGCTAACATGAATAAGTTAAATGATCCATAGTACAGGGCTACATATGGATCATTTAATTTATTCATGTTAGCAGAGGAGAATTAGAGTACACATTGCTAATACACTGGGGACCATAGATTTACATTTATCCCATGCTTAATAGTGCCCCCCCTTGCCCACACTAACTGTGCGGGAGAGCAGCGACGAGTCAGCGCTGGTCCGGTGGGAGGAGCTCCAGGTGGGGTCCTAATTTTGCTGGCCCAGAGGTGCCGGCCAGCTAAATTAAGGTGCTCTCCGGCACTGAAGGACAGCGCTGAGCTGAAGAGGAGCGTCGCGTCACTGCTGCTCCGGTGGGCGGCACTCCAAGTGGGGTCCTCTGGGCAGTCGCCGGCCACCTAAATTAGGAACCCACCTGGAGCGCTGCCCACCGGAGCAGCAGTGACGCGACGCTTGGCAAGGTAAGAAAAAAACAAAAACCATAGCGCAAGCTTCGGCAAGCTCTTCTCTCCATGTGACCCGCTCTGTGATCATTCAGTGCTCTGCTCTCAGTGTCTCAGTGCTGAGATGCAGGGCCAGTGGTAGGAGTTTTGCAGCGCAGGACCTGCTTAAAGGGGCTGCTGCTTTGGGCCCCACAACAATGAGTGAGCCCTGGGCAGCTGCCCCTTTTGCCCTGCGTTAAAGAACTAACAGGACGGCTAAGGGGTGAGGCCAAAGTTATCTTTTATGCTGAGAATCACATATAACCTTAACTGCTGATTGTTTTGAAATGTAGTTTTCACTGAAGGCAACTTCTGACTATGTTTTTCTTTCCAAGCTTATAACAGGCTAACTTTGATGCATACATTCTAAATATTAAGAACAGAACAGTAGTACTGGAAATAAAGAAAACATGTTTATTCCGTACAACTCGCACTATACCATTTAAAGTCAAGGATCTGGAATTGTGTTTTTGTTGTTATAAAAACGTTTCTATTAGCTGTGTTCTTCAGCATGGGCTTAACAGTCTCTCGAAAAACAACCAATGAGAAGTGTTTCTGAGCCGGGGACCAAGTTTTGAAAGTAAGAAGCACTTCTCATTGGTCAGTGTAGTCATGTTACCATGCTAACTAATGAACGCTCACCATTCATGAGCATTACGACATTCCATATTGTGGAGCTAGTCAGTCCGGTGTATGGACCTGGGTAGGTGGCAGGGTGCTGTTAGTGCATCCATTAATTCATGGGAGAAAGGGAATTTACCCTGGCAGGGTGCTGTTAGTACATCCATTATTTCATATCTAAGTGTTTTAATTGTTATACCTCTCATAGTAATGATTTGTAGCTTTATATAGACACACTCCTATATGATTGATATATACTGTATGTGTGTATATATATATATATATATATATATATATATATATATAT